CATCACGGACCCCGGCGTTTGTTCTCGTATCCTCAGAACGGCCCGAATTATAACTCGGCCGTCCTAACAAATTTATTTCACCACACACTGGGTCATCTCATCTTGTTTTTAATTGAGTGTGGTCAGTAAAAGTATTTCTGTCAGTCGAGAAGAAGTTCACCATTGAAGTGGATATGTAGAAGAGAAAGTATGATCAAAGAGACTTACTTCTGATTTAAAATCAATGCACGAGTTATTTAAATCTGTGGAAATAATGTTCTGAGGATTTTAGATTCAAAGGTTTCAATTCGAGAACTGTCGATAGTGGCAATTATGTTATGAAGACAATTGAACAGGACGAAGGTAGCAGAGCATGAGGACTTCAGAAATTTCGTGTCCTCTTGTTCAATTACGAATGCATATTGCATACTTAAATAACTAGTGGTGAATTAGGAACACAGCTTAAGGCGAGCAAAAGGTATACAAAGTTAAATAACAGGGAATGTTGGCTGGACTTTTTTCAGTCTGAAACATTTGATAATCATATTTGCGCCCTCCGTGCCTTGGCTGTAATACGAACCAAATCTTCGGTATTCTCTTTCCTTCCTTGATGAAGTACGGTTCGAATACCCATATACTCCCACCAGCTGGGCGATCTAGTCCCGCTCACGCCCATTTCCTCCTCCTTAGAAAGACTGTTAGCCACATTCACTGCGTGTCCTATAGTGATATTCTGTCCGAGCATTTTTTGTTTCACCGTTCGCTCGGTTTCCTAATTCACTAATTGTTCGCTACTTCGAGAACGCCAGTAACATTCTGGCCATTATAGTCAGTAACATGATTGGGTAAGTAAAGTAGCTTGCATTCTGAGATAATATGATGAAAAGAAAGAAGACCTTCGGAAAATCCAGTTGCACTCGCAAGTTTTTGAGCAGGTAACACATGCCATCGTCAGGCTAAAGGAAAAGTGGGGCTGGGATTGTCGCACTAGAGGGGTTGGGGACGGTGGTTATATCGAACGCTGGTTACCTGCTCGAAGATTCACGAGTACAACTCGATTTTCCGAAGACCTTCCTTTCATTAACATGAGTGTTTTAAATTTGCAGTAATTCTCACCAGAGAATTTTGAATTCTGAATTAACATGGGTGCCTACTTTGCGTTTTTTGGGTGCGTTCTGTTTTGTGAATATTTGCATTTTACGCTGGGAAACCCCTTTTGGGTTCTCGATACAAGCGAGTCAACCCGTTGTAGTCCGTTTTATGGGGAGTTATACTTAGAGCAGTGTGGATTCAGACGCCGTATTTGAGAATTAAGTCTGTATTTGGAAGAGGCTCCCGGCTGAATATCAATGTTAGTTTCTTTACCTCCCAGTTTCTCTCCGTCCTCACTGTACTGCGGTGCAAACAGTACAAGGCTGAAAATTACAGAGCGCATCCTCATCGAACCTCAACCAGTCCTCCATCGGGTCTTGAACTTGGAAGCTGTTTCTTTCGAGGGTTTTGATATACTGGTGTGCTTCGTTCAAGACGGGTAGTCGTGGCGCACTGCCGTAAAAAGTAGAGCAGCTATCTTCGGAACCAACTGCATAGCCGCTATCAACGCAAACAGAGAGGCCCGCGAGACTGGCATATTACGGGTCAATGGCGCGAGTACCGAACCCCTACCATCTATATCAAAGTGTCATGAGACATTGTGGGCACGAAGCGAGCTTTATGGACATCTCCAGACCACATGTAATGAAGTTATTTCTTATTTCACAAAACCCCACGAGCGTTAACATCACCAGTAAAAAAACCTCAGTTTTGCGATTATTTAAACTGGTTTCAATGAAAGATATCAGCGGTCTCATATCTAATATGAGTAAAATTATATGTGGGTTGACGCAGACATAGTTCCTTCTCTCACTTAATGATGGAAGGCCGGAAAAAACACCCGACTCGTCCTCTTGAACATAAAATGTACGCGTTTCGATTAAGCATACGAGGAACTTTTACTTGGTGAACATATACTCACACCACATTAGAAACTGATAGTAAAGAGTACTACTGCCTTGTGAATAGGTGCTTTGTTCCTATTTTTCCTTTGACGAGTATCATTCTACAGGACTCCGTCTTCTTCTGTTTTATATGCTGCTGTAGATTGAATTTGTAAGTTATTTCAGGTGGGAAATGATTTGTGGTTCAATGAATGTATTTTTGATAAATAATATTCCCGGGTACAACAACCTTCTAAAGAAACGTAATAGCCATTGGAATATGTCAATTTATGGGGGACACAGAGAAACCAAACAGTAAAGAACATTGGCCTAGGGCAGGATAAGTAACCACGTTGGCTGCTCTGTGCGGCTTGAACTATGTGGCAAAATTCACGGGTATTTTGACTAGCCAGTGAGCGTGCACTATGACGGTAATTTTGACTAGCGACTTGCCCACGTATTTT